GCATACATGCAGCCAGTCCCAACCCTCAGGTCTCAGACTCTCACAAACAATCCAATAGCCTGAGGCCCATCTCCCTGATAAATGCTGGGAATATGCAGACATTTTTTAACAGTAAAACTGCAGATATATAGTTCAAAGACTGCCCTACAGACCTGTAACCTAAGACACGGATCCCTTGGAGACAGATCTAGGCAATGTCTGAGGTGGAAAGTAGCAGCCTCTCTCATATGCATCCAGGAAATCTTGGCTGTGGGCTTGACCCAACATCTCACCACCCCAGCTGGGGCTCCAATGCTTTTGGTTACGAAAAAGGAGGGAACATTACATCTCTCCATAGACTATTGGGCACTATGCCAGGTGATCATCTGAAACTGGTATCCAATACCCCGATCATAAAGTTGCTAGACTGTGTTCAGTGTATCAGAAATTTCTCTAGAACGCTGTGTGCACTTTTGTCATCTAGTGAGGAAGACAGACAAATGGAAGATGTGCAACAGATTCTTAGTAATACCATTTGGTCTAATCAAAGCTCCTGTGACTTTTCAACACTTCATGAATTATATATTTAGAGACACCCTCGAATACTCAATATAAAAGAATTTTTTTGCATCAAAGTCCAGTAATACGTATTAATTCACAATACTCCAAACCTTGTTTTAATGGCTGTAATATAGTAAGCCTTCTCTTTTAGCAATACAAAACTAAACATTTTTACCTCTCCGTCTCGTAATGGCTGGAGCTTGTTGCCTAACAAATTAAATTACTAATGTACAGTCTAGTTCTGACCCAAAAGGAGCTTCAGCAAATTATTCAGTGGAAGAACAAACAACATCAGGTGAGGGGGATACCTGAAAGTTTTTCCAACAACAAAAATGTGTGTCTGAAGTTTAGGCCTGTCACAGGATGACTGCCTTGAGACTCAGAAGATAGGTTCAGTGCACCTATGCCTAATTAACACACCTTTCAAGTTAGGCCAGAAATGCAGGGTATTTGTACCTTCCTAGCAAAGAAACTTAATGGTGATGATTAATCCCAGTTGAGGGGAAGAAAAGATGATGATACTGTATCTAGAAGCCTAATAAGAGGGGGCAGATAAGCAAGCACACTGCAGTAGAACAAAACCCAAAACAGGGAGCAGGCCATGGTCATGCAGGGAAGAGTTGAGTATAAACTAATGAGACACCCATGAGGAGAAAAAGGCTAGGCTCCTGAAGTGGAAGTCTGGGAATGAGGTTTAGGGATTTTTATGAAGTTCTGTTGGAGGAAAGGGGCAGAATGATAAAGCTCACGAAAATGTACCTGGAACAGCAGGATGAGAAAAATAGACATTTTATTCACTAGTTTTAGGGACTGAGATGGCTGGACTTTCTGGTCTTTATTTTCTGTATAACAGATGATGCTTTTTGAAGAGAAGTCAAAATTGCCTAGGCAGAGAAGATGCGAAAACAGTATTTTAATTTGTGTGTTCATAAAACTAGCCTTGAAGAAGGGGGTTTCTTTCATGACCCCAACCTAATGTTTATGTTTCTAAATGCTTCTGAGAGAGCAGCCATCACAGCTTAGGTGACTCCAAAGCCAATATTGACCAACTGGACTACTCCTGCACAGTTCTAGCCCCAGAAAAGGCCACAATCCTTCTATTTACTCTAATTCCTTAATGTCTTTTTCCATTCAATAAATATGGATATTTTAGATGGATTTTCCTTTATCTCTAGTTTTCTTTAAAAGAATGTGTTTTACTTAGTAGAGCATTAGCCAAGTTGTTCATTTTAAAATCTCTTCTGAGATTTAAAAACATGGATGATCCTTCTAAAAAAACCTTAAGAACCCATCCAGCTCAGCACATTCAATCTCAAGACTATGGAAGCACAACTTTCCAACTTGGTCTCCAAACATATAATGGCTACAAAAAGTTTTTAGAAAAATCTCTCCTGAAAGAACCTCCAGACTTGAAAAAAAATTATTCTCAAACTGACCAAATGCGAGGGAGAAGAAATAG